CGCGTACACCGGTCGACCTTCTGCAGTTGCAACACGAGACCTGACACAGATAGGAGAGCCGTGCGCTCGGTCGGTCTGACAGGCAGGCAGCGCGCGCGAGCACCGTGTGCACACGCCTTGCGAAACCGAACGCCGGCTAGAGATGGGATCGAGTATCTCACAAGTAGATACGAATCGTTCGCCTTTCTACCCTTTTACAGATATTTTCAGTGGAATTTTTTTTTCCAAGTATGGAGATGAATTCGGTGCTGATTGGTATTTGTCTGTAATTTGGCTTTGCGTTGGGATCCAATCCAACGATCGGCAGCTTTCGTTCAAATTCTTTTGAATTTTCGGTTTCAATTAACATTGGATGACACGTCTCTGAATTATTAAAATATCTTTAATTTAATTGAGAATTAAAATAGAACGTGCCGTGTGTTTTAATGATCTGCAGTAATGTGTGTTTTTATAAATGTGACAATTATATACTTTGTTATGTACTTTGAAATTCAGTGCTGAGGCATCGAATTCATTTCTATACCCAATGTATTTGAATTTCGAATACTGTCGAATAGATCTTCTCAGGTCAAAAAGGAAACATATTTCTAAATGCGACATTTTTGAATGTTCAATTTTAAATATATTGGCGGGTGGATATGAATCTGTCTAATGCGCATGCGTCCGATGCGCGTGCGTCTAGTGCGCATGCGTCTGATGCGCGTACGTCTAGTGCGCATGGATCTGATGCGCATGCGCCGAACGCGTGTGCGTCTAACACGCATGCGCCTGACGCTCATACGAAATCCCGAATTTTCAAATGTTGCATTCTTTCTTCTGTATCTTTATTTTACTTAAATAATTCCAAATTTATAATATTCCATAATATTCCAAATTTGCACTGCAACTTAACCTGACAATTAAGAAAGAAGACAGTACTAAACTGTGTACAATTAACAATACAATACTTTCAACTCAATGAATCCCCAAATGTTACAAATGGATTTTGACGTGCCAAAAATTTTTCATTTGAACTGAAACATTTTTACTGTAGTTTCGAGTATATATATATATATATATATATATATATATATATATATATATATAAATATTATAATATTAATATTATATAATTTTAATATTATATATAATATTTGGAACTCGCGGAACGAAATTTAGATATCGAGTTTGATTCGGATTCGCAAAGTACATGTTGAATTTGATCCCATCTCTATTTGTCACGTTTGTTTCAACGGAGAAACACATATTTAGCTGTCACGTGGACACGGCATGGGAGGATACCTATGGAAGGCGACCTCGTGATCCTGGAATCGATCGAAATACCGCTCTCATCTAGGGTATGCGAATGCGAACGAAAGTCCTTGGATGGACGCGTGACGTGCTTCGGTCGAGGATTGGGTGGAGCATACGTTTATGAGCATGTTCAAGAGAATTTTTCGTTTATATTTTTAACCCTGAAGGAAGTATTATAAACATTGAAACCTAGTCAACTATTTACTGCGTTATTACGTATATACGAGTGATGGATAAAGATCAAATTTAATTGTGGACATTCTCAAACACATACGTATCATAATTATTATATTATATGGATATTCATGTTTATAAGACGACTTTTAAATTTGTTAATTTAAATTAATTATTATTAAGAATTGAGGAACAATTTTATGAATTATTTCGTAAATTATTTCTTAAATACGTATCAATTTGTTTTTCTTCTTTTCTTCTAACTTTGTATCTAGGTTAAGAATTATGTTTGATCTCATTGAGTTTCTATATTATGACTATACAAGAAAGAAAACTATCCTGGATTTAATTAATACTTAATCAGATTTGATTAGGACAAGAACTGTTAATAATAATAATGTTTCAGATGAGGGTACTTGTTACCATCGTGCAAGTTGTCCGTTTAGAATTTTTAAGAGCGGTTAATTGGAAAATATTTGTTCTCGCCAAGTGACAATCTCGAAGTAATGAAGAGATTACCCGGCTCTTTTAAAGCTTGTTATTATAATAATTATACAGATGTCACGGAGGATGACATTTAAGTAATAATCTTGATCGAGAGGTTAAAAGCGAGCCACGTTACTGACAGAGTTACGAAGAATCGAGCGAAATGAAAACACGTAGGTAATCCATGCAACAATAGAATCTTCTCCGCAAATAATTTCAATTTTCGAAATTGCTACAAACCGATGCAAATCGTGCAATTAAACACTCGTTGTGTCCAGTTCAAAAACTAGTCAGAAATATATGGATTTCTACCAATTATTTCCACTCAGAACCTTAGCACGTAAACAACACATTGAAATCGCTAGATGATAAGCCAAAAACTAATTTCCACCGAGATATTTTCATCTGATTTAGAATTTTGACACACATTAGATTGAAATCTTGTCCGCAAATAATTTCATCGAAACGTCCAACACGTCCCCGGTCAAATGGTCCGACTTTACGTCCGAAAACTATTTCGCCAACGTGGAAACTTCGTCTGTGGAAAGGAACGAATGGTTTTAGGATCGCCGGACAGTTAGCTGGCAGCTCTCTGGGGTTTCGGTTTTCCCGCGGCCGCACCGCCGTCTTACGCTATCGATCGGAGATTCTCGACGTGCCTCGATCTCGTCTCCCACGGCACGGCCGCCGAGCCGAGCCGAGGCGTAAGTAATTTGCGTTCGGACGAACCGCAAGCCGCCAACAGCCGGCTCCTCGATCCGGGACAATAAAATCCACGGCCGTTCCGTGGGTGTACCAACACCGTTCCTGTCTCTCCGGTGTCTGTGTGTGTTTCGAACGGTGTGTGGCGCAATCGCGGGACGAAGACAATCGCGATTCCATGAAACGGCGTCGGACATCGAGCGTGCACACGCTCGAGACCGCGGAACCGTGAGGTTCGCCTGAGGTTGCGGCCTCTTAATTTTTCAATAATCGAGTTCCCGGGAAGCCGACCCACTTCGCCGGTTTCTATGGATTCGCGTTACCCGCCGCGCCACGCGTTTTTCTTTTTTTTTCTCAGACCACGCGTTTGTGAGATCTTTCCCAGTTCAATTGTCAGTTGTTGCCGTTTCTTCCATTTTTTTTTTTTTTTTTTTTTTTTCTAGCAGATATGAGAAATTCATCGTGTGTTTGAACAAATCGAATTATTGGGTTGTGTAATAAGTTCATTTGTATTGTTTTTTTATTTTTAAGTTACTTTAGTACAGAATTATAATTGTATTGTATTATAATTTAGTCAGGACTGTAATTATATTAGAATTATAATTTAGTACGGATTTACTTTAGTACAGAATTTATATCTATAAACATTTAATAAGTAATAAGTTCATTTGTATTGTTTTTTTTCTTTTTTTTTCAAGTTACTTTAGCACAGAAGTATATTGTATTATGTTATAATTTAGTTAGAATCGTAATTATATTAGAATTATAATTTAGTACAGATTTATTTTAGTACAGAATTTATATCTATAAACATTTAATAAGTAATAAGTTCATTTGTATTGTTTTCTTTCTTTTCTTTTTTTTTTTTTAAGTTACTTTAGTACAGAATTATAATTGTATTGTATTATAATTTAGTTAGAATTGTAATTATATTAGAATTATAATTTAGTACGGATTTACTTTAGTACAGAATTTATATCTATAAACATTTAATAAGTAATAA